GGATCCGACTCGATGGCAGTGAGTTTGGTTTTTGGTTTTTATATTTACATACACATGTAGGAGCCCTAGTTGTGCAGTAGTTAAAGTGCTCTGCTAACCCCTTTGGGTCAGAGGTTTGAACCCACCAGGAGAAAGATGTGGTAGTTTGTTTCTGTAAAGATTTACAGCCTTGGAAACCCTATGGAGGTTCTACTCCATTCCATAGGTCTGTATGAATTGGAATCAACTTGATGACAGTGGGTTTGGTTTTTTGGTTTATATACACACATATACATATACATACATACACATGTGTCCACAGTCTTATTATTTAGTTGTTGCACTGTTGTTTATGTCCTACCATTTACTAAAAAACATCCTTTTTTCTTGTGTATTTCTCAGTGACATCATTTACCTTGGTCAAACTGTGGACACTGCACCCACAATTGGTGTTACATTTCCCACCCCCCAAAATAACAAGTGTTTCCTATCTAGCGAATTATCTCCCTTCTCACCCCCACTCCTTGGTAACCACGAGTGAATGTTAGTTTCCATATGGATACCTATTGTCTTTTTATAATAGAGAGATCATACAGTATCTGTCCTTTTGTGATAGATGTATTTTACTCAGCATAACGTCCTCCAGTTTCATCCATATTATAGTATATTTTGAGAATTCATCGTTACTCATTATGCTTACATAGTATTCCATTGTGTATATGTACTACATTTTGTTTATCTATTCATCTGTTGACAGGCACTTAGGTTGTTTCCATCTTTTTGCTATTATGAATAGTGCTGCAATGAACATAGGTGTGTATGTCTGTGTCTTTTTTCTTTTTTTAACTTTTTACTGTGATTTGGTTCAAAGTTTACAGAGTAATTTTGTTATCCATTCAACACTTCATACAAATTTCATGACATTGATTGCAGTACCCACAATGTAACAACTTTCTTTCCGCTTCCTCCTTGTGATTACCTTTTCCTTCTGTCCTTCTCTCCTATGGATTCCTGTGTTCTGAGTTTTCTCCCTGTGCAATGCTGCTCTTCTTATTTCCCGTGGTTGACTGTTCTAAAGAGTGTACCTCCCTGGTGTAATTGTTCACCTTGTAGACCTATCTATTGTTTAGCTGAAACATAAGCCATGAGAGTGAGTTTAATTCCAGGCCCAAAGGATGACAGTCTCTGGAGTTCCACTAGTCTCTGTCAGACCAGTAATCCTAGTCTTTTTTATGATTTTGAGTTTTGTTCTACATCTTTCTCCCACTCTATCCAGGATCTCCAATTTTGGTACATTTTCAAGTAGTTGTCAATAGTAGCCAGGCACCATCTAGTTTTTCTGGTCTCAGGGTTGTGTAGGCTGAGGTTCCCATGGTCCACTAGTACCTTGGATTAATTATTTCCATGCATCTTTGATTTTTTTTTTCACTTTTCTTTGCTCTGGATGTGAGGAGACCAGTAGTTGCATCTTAGATGGTCACAAGTTTTTAAGATCCCAGTTGCTACTCACCGAAGTAGGATATAGAACTGTGTTCTACTGTGTGTACTATATTATGCCAAATGAGCTTGATGTCCCCGATGACCATGGTTCTGAGCCCCTGAGGGTACAACAGCTCACTCCCTTAAGGAATTTGGTTATGGCTAAGAAGTTATAACTTTATCCCCTAATAGCTCTATCATATATATGGACATTTTTACAGCACCTACAAATACATATGTAGAAATATCATCTGCTAAACCTGTGTAGGTGCTCTGGTGGCATAGTGCCTAAGGCATTTGACTGCTAACCAGAAGGCTGGTGGTTCAAACCCACCAGCCACTCCTCGGAAGGAAGATTGAGCAATCTACTTCTGTAGTGATACTGCCTCAAGTATCCCAAGGAGAGGTCGCTATGTGTTGGATCCGACTTGACGGCAGTAAGTTTAGTTTTTTTGGTTTAAACCTGTGTATGGTCAGAGGTATTTTCCTGTTCATCTACCTGTACCTGATCATCTTGCCTGTCTACATATGTATCCACTCTTGGATTAATGTTTGTTATTATTAATAATGCAATATGTTGTTACTGATAAATGTGTATGTAATACTATTTACTTTTGTCTGTATCTCTTGTTGATTGTGTCTTTAGTATTAGATCTCTAGGGCATATACCTAGCTATAGGATTGCTGGATCCTAAGGTAGTTATATTTCTAGTTTTTTTTTTTTTTTTTAAGAAAGCGCCATACTGTTTTTCATAGTGGTTGTACCATTTTATAGTCCCACCAGCAGTGGATAAGAGTTCCAATCTCCCCATAACCTTGCCAGCATTTGTTGTTTCCTATATACTCTTTACTCAGATTCTTCTATTATTAATATTTTGACATATTTGTTTTGTTACTATATGTAATGTAGATACAAGCTAGCTAGATAGATACTTTTAAAAACTATTTGATAAATAAGTTTTAATTATATCCTTTTACCCCAAAATACTTCAGTGTTTATTTCCTAAGAACAAAAGTAGTGTTCTCCTACATAACCACGGTACAATTATCAAAATCAAGGAATTAACATTGATGTAATACAATTTGGGCCTAAGACAGTTACCTGCCAAGCACAAGGCTGGCGGTTCAAACCCACCAGTCACTCCTCAGAGGGAAGGTTGGGCAATCTACTTCCGTAGTGATACCGCCTCGGAAACCCAAGGAGGGGTCGCTATGAGTTGGCACATAACAGCAACAATAATACTATTATATAATTATGAGTCTTATTTGTACTTTGCCAGTTGTCCTAATAGTGTCCAGTATAAGAACAACAACAAAAATTGTTTGTTTGTTTTTTAACCCATTATCCAAGCCAGGATAATATACTGCATTTAGTTATCATGTCCCTTTTGTCTCTTTTATTCTGGAAAATCCCTCAGTCTCTCTTTATCTTTCATGATTTTGACATTTTTGCCAATTATTTTGTAGAATACCCCTTAATTTAGGTTTGACTTATGTTCCTCATGATTAGATTCAGGTTATGCATTTTTTGCAGGAATAACATAGAACTTTTATGTCCTTCTAAGTTAATTATCCCATGGCACCATTGTTTCTTCCTCCTGGAAGGTTCTGAAACTCTTAGCCCAGGATGGCTTACTTTTGGATAAAGTCTATTTTCTTTACTCATTATTCTAAATTCATATTTGGATCTAGTCTTACTAACTGCTCTATTGGGACCCCTATTTTCATTCTATCAGTGTCTGTCCTATAGCTGCCCATAGCAGACTTCCTGTCGTCACCTTTGGTTCACAGTCTGTGCCCCTTTCGGAGTAATAGGCATATTAAATTCTTGTTTCTAGTTTAAGAGATCATATTTAGACTTGCCAATAGATGATCAATTTTCTCCTGCCCTTTTCCGTGGAATTTCTTTGACTTATCACCTTATAACTCAAGTGCTTAGTCTGGTCCTTATCCTATGAAGCTAACGGTCAGAATAGTGCTTTTTTGCTACTGTGGTTTTAATAGTAACTATAACAACAACAATAATAATGATAGTGGAGGAATAAGTAAAATTAATTGAGTGTTTACTCTGTATTATGAACTGTGCACAAGTTTTAACTCATTGAATCATGCCTAAACATGTGGTAGATACTATTATTATTTTACAGATGAGGAAACAGAAAAACATAAAGGTTAAGTAACTTGTCTAAGGCTATCTGGTTGATAAGTGGTGAAACTGAGATCACACAGTAAAAAGAAAAATCATTTTGGATCCTGAGAATTGGTAAATAAGTAGGAAAGTATTGTGATTCTGAGTGTGAGTGAGCTTAGTTTAATGATGAGTCAAGTTGAAGTATTCAAGAAGTAATTGGAGATGAAAGGTTGGAAAAAGGTGAAAAGGCTTGCTTGGAGATCTGAAATTAGAAGCCTGTAGTATAAAGGCAATAAATATTATTATTGTTATTTTGTAATAAGTGAACTTTTCTCAGGAAGAAGTGTAGGAATGATGACTCAAGGATTGACTGTTTGGAAGTGATCACATTTAGAGAGACAGGAAAAGAGCTTAAGAAGAGAATGAAGATGTCAGTGTCATGTCTATATATATATGAACCATAGGAAAATGAAAGTTATATATTGTTGAGTGAAATAATCCCAATTTCAGTTTTTAAAAATTATATATGATACAGAACACACACATACATGAAACACAAACATATCATAAAAACAATGGAGGAAATCTTAAAACCAAACAATAGCTTAGCTTAACTAGTGAAAAATATCTTTTTTGAGCATTATGTTCTTTTAAGAACTATAGGGTCAAAAAGACAAAAGCAACTCAAAGATTAGATAGGAACTGTAGGTGGCAGTGAGTATACGTTAATGGGGGAAGAACAACCCAGAACAAGAGGATGAAAATGGTTGCACAACTGGAAGACTGTGATCCAAAACCAAACAAAACTCACTGCTTTTGAGTCAGATCCGACTCATAGTGATTCCTTGGGTTCCCGACGCAGTATCACTATGGAAGTAGATTGCCCAGTCTTCCTTCCAAGGAGTAGCTGGTGGGTTTGAGCCGCCAGCCTTCTGGTTAGCAGTAAGATGCCTTAGGCAGTGTCATTGAAATGTATGTGTAAGAATTGTGCATGTTTTGCTGTTGCTGTGTATATTCTCAACAACAACAGCAAAATAAATAAAACTGAAAAAAAAAAAAAACCTGCAGTGGAGAAGATACACATTAAACTGTTGACTGGCTATTTTTTGGGGTGAGATAATACAAAAATTTTGCTTTCTGCTTTATACATTCCTGTACTTTTTGAATTTTAGAGATGATTTTATATTATTTTTATTATCATAAAGGAAACATTGAATAGCCTGGTTCTTGTTTTCCTCCATGACTTGGCCCCTCCCTTTTCTCCAGCCTTGCTCCCACTCCTTTCCACCATACTCCCCACTGTTCCGTGTGAGTGTCTTCCAGTTCTTTTATATCATCTGTTCAGTAAATACTGAATAATCAATCAGTGAATGATGAAACTAGTGAATGAAATTTTCATCTCTGTCCTTAGACTATGTTTTTCCCGACTTAACCGAGAAGGCAGGTCCCATAGAAGACACAAGCCAGGCTCAAGAGGTGCCAAGCCCCCCTTCTGCCTTACCCAAGATGAATCTGGTTGAGCCACCCTGGCATATAACTCCTGAAGAGGAGGAAGAAGAAGAAGAGGAGGAGGAGAGGGAAAAAGAAGAGGTAGAGAAGGAAGAGGTAGAGGAAGAAGAGGAGCTGCTGCCTGTGAATGGATCCCAAGAAGAAGCCAAAACTCAGGTCCATGACTTTTCTCCCACCAGCAGTAGCCAGACTTCAGGGTCCACCAAACATAGGCAAGAAGATTTTGGGGACCAGGCCTCGTCAGGTGTGGAGGTGGAGAGCAGCATGGAGCCAAACTTGTCACCATTCTCAATCACCCCAAGTACAGCAACCCTGGGGGATCAGGACTTTACTGGCCTGGAGGCAGGGGCCACAGTGCTGCCAGCTGCAGGGTTTGGGGCAGAGTTTGAGGCTCCACAGGAAGTGGGTAAGGAGGCCACTGTGGGAGCAGCTGGATTGGCTGGCAAACAAGGAGAGGTGCCGTCCTTGGCATCTTTTCCACAATCAGAAGCTCCAAGTGAAGCTGAGATTCCCGGAGAAGATCACCTTCACCACAGAACCTCGGCCCCTTTCTCACTGGCCCCCCAAGAGATGGACCTGACACCTTCCTCTGCTACCTTGGGGCAAGAAGACTTCAACCAGCAGCCCCAGGAAGGGCAGGCAGCTGAAGCTCAATCTAGAATACCTTGGGATTCTACTCAGGTAAAGTGAAGGCACATACAGGCCATCAGCCTGCACCTTCCACTGTGGAGTCCTACCATATCCAGGGTTGGTGCAGGCTGGTGTGGCATCTGTCAGGCTGAGAATGGAGGCCCTATCTACAGCACGTATAACCCCAAGACAACTTTTGGGATTTCTACCTCATGGCCCAGCAATAGGTATTCTCACCACTCTTACATGCAAAGACCCTGTGAAAAGCTTGGTGCCCTAGCCTGGTTTTCACCGAATACAGGTGCTACTGCTGTCACTTTTGGCCTGCCCCACGCTTATGACAGCTGCTGAAGGTTAGTGCCTGACCCATATTCTCCCCTGTCCCCACTCCCATCACAGTATATGTAGTACTGCTTCACTCACCACTCCCTTACCTGACCTCCTCCTCGCCACCTACTCAGGAGTATTCATACTCACAGAACTCAGAAGGAAAGGAGTCCCAAGCTGTCAGCCTGTTGGTCTGGCCTACAGATATATTTTTGTTTGGCCTGCAGAATAATAAAAAATTTGCTATTGAAAGCCTTTAAAAGGGGAAAGCCCTCTGCAGTCTGCCCCTTAGATACATTTTCTCACATCCTGTGTAACATGGTCTCCTTCCATTTAAGACACATACTGCTTGGTCTTTGAAGACATTAGAGTTTGTTGATCCTGGGCTAGATCCTTAGCATTTCATCTCCCAGAAGTTGTCAGCTCCCACCTGGCTACACAAACCTACAACTGGCCTTCACCTTCTAGCTTTTCAAAGATTTTCTGCCATGCTCTCTCCCTCATGGCCCTCTTTATGCCTTTGTGTATAGCCCTTCTTTTTGTTTTATTGCATAGGTGATCTGCAAAGACTGGAGCAACCTGGCTGGGAAAAACTACATCATTCTGAACATGACAGAGAATATAGACTGTGTGAGTGCTGAGCCCAGGCTGGGGGGCCACAGAAAAGGTTGGAGGAGACAGGCACAGTGGGACAGAGGGAGGCTCTTTGGGGAAGGGGAAGTGAGGCCACGGGCAGGAGATGGAGTGGAAGGCTTAGTTCTTAAATCATTGGGGGCCACCTAACACAGGGTATGAACCAGCAGCATCCACCAATGTCAGAGTGTTCATAATTTTAAATTTCCAAGGGATCTTTTGTTTTTGGTGTCCTCCACTTTTTAATTTAAAGGAATATTTTTATCCATGTGTGCGATGGTATCTCATCCTTTTTTTTTAAGTCGTGTTCTTTCTGTATAGTCTTGTTGCTTTCCCCTATTAGTTTGTTTTGATCTCAGTTTTTCATATATGTGATTTCCGCAAATGTGTGGTGGTGTCTATTCATGTATTTTTAAGGAGAGCTATCAAAAAGCTAGCTGGAAGATTTGAGCTTGTTAACTGTGGCTTCTCAGAGGGGTGATCTGGCTGAGGTATTTCATTAGGAAATCTCTATTATAAACAGATTTAAGTCTTTCTTCCTAGGGTAATTAGATTCTTTTAAAAAGGAACTTCTGTCCTATTGGGAGAATAAAGGGCTGATTGCCAGTGTTCTGGGAGCTGAAGTGGGGGAAGACGGCTGGAGGTCTTATATATAAATATATCTATGTAGATTTCATTATAAATGTTTGTTTACTCCCCCTGTTTGTAGTATGAACCCCTTCCCCTAATGGTTCCTGGTGTTCTCTAGTTCAAAGACCCTCCGTTTTGTTCTCTTTAAAGAATAAACTTCCAGGCTTCTGCCAGGAAGGAGGGACATTTGTTGGCTGGGCAGCATTGGGGAGAAGATTTAAGAATCCAGCTGTTTCTTAAATTTTTAGCCAATTTTCCTGGTTTTAGTACCATCTTCATCCCCTTTTCCAAAGGTAATTAGTGCTGCATATTCTAGAGCTTTTGGGGAGTTCAGACAGCATAAATCTATTTCTTAGCTTTCCCTATTGTTAGTTTAGGATTCAGCTCTTTAGCCTTTGCTGAATCAGGAAACTCCTACTCATCATTTAGCTTGCAGCATCCACATTTTGTTGCTCTTGTTTCTGCTTGTATTGTTTTGTTTTTGTCTTTGTGGTTTTAGATCTTAAAACAAGGAAGAGTGAAGGAACATGCATGTGTTTAATCCAGAAGCATTTTCTTTTTTAATGTCATTATAAATTGATAGGTTTTAGCATCATTAATATTTGCATGTTTACATAATTGATACATTGAAGTTATTAGTCTTATTGATACCCCAACTTTGGCCAGTGGAAGCCCTTTCAAATTGGCTTCTGAATCCTTGTGATGATCTTCTAGTGTTTCAGTTTCCTTGCTTTTTGGTATAACATGATATTCCAGGCTGATCTTGTGCTTTCCCTTTCCCAGATATGGAGAATCAACATTTCTCCAAGGAGGCTTAGTTGCTTTTTATTGAGAAATGGTACTTGGAGACTACAGTATGGCCACTTGAGATCCTTAAATTTTTGAAATGCATGCTTGAACAATAAAAGTTAATCTCTCTTCTCTTTCCAGGTGGCACCTAAATATTAAAATGATTTTATTGTGGTTTCCCTATTTTTGTATTCTATGTTATTTTTATTTAATATTTGACACCCACCTAATTACTCACTATTGTTAACAGCCAATGTTTATATAGCTTTATCAGCATTTTTATTCACTTCTCTGCTGACCCTTCTTCCCACATCCGTACTCCATTCTTCTGGCTTTAACTTCCTTCTTCCTGAAACATATCCTTTAGTGGCTCTTTCTGGAAGGATCTCTCAGCCTTTATCTTAAAAATGTCTTTCATTTTCTTTTCTTTGTAAGTTTTAATCTTGATATAATTTCAGATGTACAGATGCCCTCAACCCAGATTCATCAGATGTTAGCATTTTGCCAAACCATTTGAGAGGAAGGCACATTTACCTTTACTCCTACCCCAAATATATTAATGTGTATCTCTTCAGGATAAAAATATTCCTTTACAGAACCATAGTACAGTTATCAAAACCAGGAAAGTAACACTGATAGAAAACTATTATCTAATCTAAGGATCTTACTTATTTTACACCAGTGGTCTTAACAGTGTCCTTTATAGCTTTTTTTTTTCATCTCTTTTAATCTGGAATACATTTTGTTAGATATTGCCAAATTCTTATTTCTCAATTTTTATTAGAAATTTGTTGATTCATATTTTTCTGTCTTTTAGTTTTATCAAACCAAAAGTTTCACATATTTGTTAGTCTCTTAATGAGGAAGCATAAAAACAATGGAAGAAACTTGAAGTTTTCCAGTACATGTTCTGTTGATCAGATCATGGTGAAATTTTAAACTTGATATGGTAGAATGATAGTGAACCTAGGTAAATATGTGTGCTATCACATGAGTTTTTTTTTTTTGGTTTTATAGACCCAGTGTCTCCTGTTGGAGTTATCTGATTTTTTTTTTTAAATTTTTATTGTGATTTGGGTGAAAGTTTACAGAGCAAATTCACTTTCCATATTGCAGCTCAATATATTTTGTCTCATGACATTGACCACAGTTTCCCACAATGTAGCAACTTCCCTCCTACTTCCTCCCCATAGCTACCTCTTCCCTATGTCCTTCCCTCCCATGCACTCCTGCCCTTTGAGCTATCTCCCTGTGCATACACAGGCCTTCTGTTCTCTCATGATGATTTATCTCTCCAAGGAGTGTAAATGTTCAACTCATATGCCTGTCTTTTGTTGGGGTGGAAGCCATAGGTTTCAGTTCTAGATCTGAAGGGCAGCTAGCGGCCATAGTCTCAGTGGTTCTGTCAGGCTCCATCAGACCAGCAAACCTGCTCCTTTTTTTTTTTTTAATGAGTTTGAGTTTTGTTCCACATTGTTCTCCCATTCTATACAGGATTTCCTACATAGATCCCTTTCTGAGTAGTTGACAGTGGTAGCCAGGCACCATCTATTTCTTCTGGTCTCATAGTTATATAGGCTGAGAATTGCATGGTGTACCAGTCGCTAGGACTAATTGTTTCCATGTGTCTTTGCTTTTCTTCATTCTTCTTTGCTCTGGACGAGGAGAAACCATTGTTGCATCTAGATGGCCGCTTGCAAGCTTTTAAGACCCCAGTCGCTACTTGCCACAGTAGGATGTGGAACAGTGTTTTTGTGTAGTATGTTTTGCAAATTGAGCTTGATGTCCCCTGCAACTATGGTCCCGAGCCCACAGGTCCAACTGCTCACTCCCTCTGGGTAGCTGGCTATGGCCAAGAAGTGACTACAACCTTGTCTCTTGTCAGCCCTATTATTACCTGGGAATTCTTACAGAACATACATTTGTAGAAACATTGTCTGCCAACACTATACATGGTCTTGGGCACACTCCTCCCTGCATAGACATAGCTAATAATTCAGCCTGTCCACCCATCTGTCCACCCATATATCAATGTTTGCCTTTACTGACAATATAATACTGTATGTGCAAAAGAGTTCGTCTTTGTTGTCTGTACCTCCCATGCACCTCTCTCTTTCCTCCTCTTCCTCTGTGCCACCGTGTTGATCACTCACATTTGGTACATCGCCCTTCTCTTCACCCAAAGCAATACTTGTCTCTGCCTATCTAACAGTGCTCCACCTCCCCACCCCCCACCTAGTAACTGACAAAGAAAATTTTCTTCCATATATAAACATTTCTTTGACTTTTTGCAATAATGGAATAATATCATATGTGTCCTTCAGTGATAGACTTATTTCACTCAGCATAATGTCCTCCAAGTTCATCCATGTTATGCGGTGTTTTGCTGATGCTACATTATTCTTTAGGGTAGTATAGTGTTCCATTGTGTGTATGTACCACAGTTTGGTTATTCATTCTTCTATTGATGGGCACCTAGGTTGTTTCCATCTTTTTGCTATTGTAAATAATGCTGTGATGAACATGTGTGTGCATAAATGTTTTCTTGCCCTGGCTCTCACTTCTTTAGGATATATACCTAGTAATGGAATGTTAGGTCAAATGGTATTTCTAATTGCAACTTTTTAAGGAATTACCATACTGCTTTCCACAGTGGTTGAATCATTTTACAGTCCCACCAGCAGTGTATGAGAGTCCCAATCTCTTCACGTCCTTGCAAGCATTTGTTATTTTCTGTCTTGTTGAACATTGCTACTAGTGCTGGGGCAAGATGGTATCTTGTTTTGATTTGCACCTCTCTAATGGCTAATGATCATGAACATTTCTTCATATGTTTCTTGGCTGCCTGGATATTGTGTTTGGTGTCTTCTGCCCATTTTTCAATTGGATTCTTTGTCTTTTTGTTGTTGAGGTGTTGGAGTTTTCTATAAATTCTAGAGATCAGTCCCTTGTCAGATATGTCATTGCCGAATATTTTTCCCCATCTGTAGGTTCTCTTTTGACTCTTTTGGAGAAGTCTTTGGAAGCACATAAAAAATTAATTTTTAGAGCAGCCTATTCATCTAGTTTATTTTCCGCTGCATATGCATTTTGGGATCTCCTTGGTAGTCTATTTATGTCATATATTAGGGCCCCTAAATTTGCTCCTAGTTTTTCCTTGAGGAACTTTAGAGTTTTAGGTTTTATATTTAAGTCTGTTATCCATGTGGAGTTAGTTTGTGTGCATGGTGTGAGATACAGATCTTGTTTCATTTTTCTGCAACTGGATCTCCAGTTTTGCCAGCACCATTGCTAAATAGACAATCTTTTCTCTATTTAATGGATTTCAGCCCTTTATCAAAGATCAGATCATCTGACCATAGGTACATGGATCTATTTCTGGGTTCTCAGTTCTCTTCCTTTGATCTATGTGTCTGTCATTGTACCAATACCAGGCAATTTTGACTACTGTGGCTATATAGTAGGTTTTAAGATACAGGTGTGTGAGATCTATTTTGTTCTTCTTTGGTAATGCTTTGCTTCTCTGAGGTCTCTTTCCTTTCCATATAAAGTTAGTGTTTGGTTTTTCCATATCCTTA